ATAATTTAGAATTTATTCCTATACGTGTATAAGTTTATGCAGCTATTGTTTGATTTTGACGGATGGTATGAGGAAGGGTGTGAGCAGGTCAGATGAGCTCGCAATGTTGACGGATGTTGTTCGTGTATGCAGAAGAATCGAATCATATCAGATTTTTACACCGCTGTATCACCGGTTATATGACACATTGATCAAAGTAAAAGTCACCTGGATAATCAGAAATTAAAATAGGTCGTACGCAAATATTACGGACCACTGGTTTAAAATAAATGCTACAGGAAAGAGCGATCGTTGCTACGTACTCCATAAATTATTGATTATCGGTGATGGAAATGTTGAGTGCAAATTTTTAATCTGGCGAATGAGCAGTGATCGTGCTACGATACAAGGCAGGTGCGCAAAGGGACAAGGAAAAAAAAAAAAAGAAATCCGGTCACATTTTTTTTAATTATTGGATTGTCATTATGAACAACGTTAGGAATCCAATTCGGTGATATAAACTTTATTTTGTCCTAAATTACGTTCCTTAACAATTCGTCGGATCGGCGAGAAGCATTCCGTTACCTTTTTTTAATCTATTCTCGCTTTCGCCCAACATCAAAAAAATCCATACGTAGAGATGCATTGGGTGCATTGTCGTTTTTGTATTCAATTGATTGCAGCTGGGTACGTATGTGCATAGGCGTGTCTACGCACACTGTGTCTCTTGTTTACCGTTGTTTTTCTAAGCCGCCTTCTCGCAATTACCTTTCTGGTATGCGCTCTACGCATAAAACATCGACTCCAATCTCATCATCATCACAATCGATTCCTTCTTTACTCCAAATGGTAGTGCCGCACAGGATTTTCATTTGTCTAGTATCGCCATCTTTTCCCCATTGATCATTCTAGCACATTCTCTTCTCGATTTTACCAGAATGCAACGTCCATCTCCACCTCAAACGTTTCATCCTCCCATTGGTCGAATTCCCCCTGCCAGCCGAATCTTCATTGTTATTCCTGGTACTTAGAGGGGGGGGGGTTAAAAAAAAACCTTTTTCGGCATGCATGCTCCGCATAAATGACACCTTAACGTGCATCACGATTGGGAATTCCTTAACCATCGACATTCTTCGCCCAATTTCGACTAACCTCATGCCACCGGATCCATCGCTTATGGCATGTCGATTGGGTACCACTTCGTCCAAGAGATTCGACAGCTGCTGACCTACTTAACTTTAATAAAACGATCATCTTTAACAAGGAAAATAAAATTACCCTTAAATGGCAAAAATACGAGACAAGGATAATACCGATTGTTATTCTAAACAGAACCAAAATTGGGGATCAATTGTCGGAAACTTTGTTACGGGGAAGGGGGAACATGCAGTTAGTTGGTTTACATTTAGTCAAAATCGAGAGGAAACAAAAGATGATGATGGTTCACACACAAGGCGATTGAACATTAATGAATGAAATGAATGAATCAAAATTTGTCTAATCTA